TTACAAATTGAGCCGCCATAAACATTCCAGCACATATCTTTGGTATACACAGACATACAATTCTGTTGCATATTTACTTAGAAGTGGAATTACTGTATTATGGGATATACACATTTGGTTTTAGTACATGCTGCCAAACAGTTTTCCAAAGTATCAATTTATACTCCCACCAGTCATTTGAGAATTCTGTTTGCTCCACATCCTCACCAACACTTGGTAATTTCATTTTAGTCTTTCAGGTGGGTGAGTAGTGGTATACCACTGTGATTTCAATTTGCATTTCCCTGATGACTAATGAATTGTAGTGCCATTTCATATTTGTATTGATCCCTTGGATATGCTCTTTTATAAAGTATCTGTTCATGTCTCTAGCCCTTTTTTCTATTAGATAGTTTGCATTTTCCTATTTTTTGAAGGACTTTAAAAAAAATAAATATTCTGGATACAAGTTGTTTCTTGATGTTTTAGGATGACTTAGGTTGAATGCCCTGGAAATGGATTATGAGATGAGGATTCTAGTGCAAGTGATATTGAGCAAGTGCTCCCTAGAGAAATAATGTGGAGCATGAGAAGCAGGATAAGGAATGGGGAGAAGCCAAGCAAAGGTGTAACTTCAGGCAAAGTACTTCTGAAGGTAACTTCAGCCTGATCCCATAGGGGAAGTCTGAGATGTTAATTACGCTTCAGAGTTTGTCCCAGACTGAGACAAGGGAGCTGGGTTTTCATACTCCTAATATATAATTCTGATACATGCTACAATATGGATGAACATTGAGATTTTATGCAAAATGAAATAAGCCAGACACAAAAGGACAAATATTGTATGATTCCATTTATATGAGGTACCTAGAATAGTTAACTTCATAGAGACAGAAAGTAGAATAATGGCTACCCATGGCTAAGGGAAGGAAGGAATAGAGAGTTATTGTGCAATGGATAGAGTGTTTCAGTTTGGGGTGATGAAAAATTTCTAGAGATGATAGTGATGATTGTACAACAATGTGAATGTACTTAATGCCACTGAACTGTATACTTAAAAATGGTTAAAATGGTAATTTTTATATTATTTACATTTTACCACAATAAAAAAATAGAAAATAACATTAAAAGAATTATATACCATGATCAAATGGGATTTATCCCCTGGGATGCAAGGATGGTTTAACATATGCAAATCAATAAATGTGATTTACCACATTAATAGAATGAAAGATAAAAAAACAGATGATTATCTCAATGGATGCAGAAAAGGCATTTCACACAATTCAACATCTTGTCATGATAAAACCTCTCCATAAATTGGGTATAGAAGAAAGATACCTCAATGTAACAAAGGCCATACATGACAAGTCCACAGCTAACTAATAGTCAGTGGTGAGAGGTTGAAAGCTTTCCCTTTAAGATCAGAGAGAAGACAAGGGTGCCTGCTCTCATCACGCTTATTCAACGTAGTACTGGAAGTCCTAACCAAATTAGAAATGAAGAAGCAAAATTTTCTCTGTTTGCAGATGACATGATCTTATATATAGAAAACCCTCCAGACTCTACCAAAAACCTCTTAAAACTAGTAAATGAATTTAGTCAAGTTGCAGGATGCAAAATCAATATGCAAAAACCAGTTACTTTTTTATACACTAACAACGACAATCTGAAACAGAAATTAAGAAAACAATCCCATTTATAATCATATCAAAAACGATAAAATATTTAGGAATAAATTTAACCAAGGAGGTGAAAGACCTGTACACTGAAAATTCTAAGACTTTGATAAAAGTAATTGAAGAAAACACAAATAAATAGGAAGACATTCTGTGTTCATAGATTTAAAAAGTTAATATTGTTAAAATGTCCATACTACCCAAAGTGATCTACAGATTCAATACAATCTTTATAAAAATTCCACTGGCATTTTTCACAAAAATAGAAAAAGAATAATCCTAAAATTCATATGGTACCACCAAAGACTCCTAATAGCCAAAGCAATCCTAAGAAAAAAGAAAAAAGCTGGAGGCATTACAACACCTAATTTCAAACTTTTTTACAAAGCTATAGTAATCAAAATAGTGTGACCCTGGCATAAAAACAGACACATAGACCAATGGAACAGAACAGAGACCCCAGAAATAAACCCACAAATATACACAGTCAACTAACATTTGACAAATGAGACAAGAATACTCAATGGGGAAAGGATAGTCTCTTCAATAAATGGTGCTGGGAAAGCTGGATATTCACATGAAAAAAAAAATGCTATCGAATCCCTACCTTATACCACTCACGAAAAAATAACTTGGAGTGAATTAAAGACCTAAATGTAAGACCTGAAAGTGTACAACTACAAGTAGAAAACATAGGGAAAAGGCTCTTTGACATTGGTCTTGGCAACTATTTTTTTGATATGACACTAAAAGCACAATTAACAAAAACAAAAATAAATAACTGGGACTACATCAAATTAAAAAGCATATGCACAGTAAAAAGAAACTATCAGCAAAATGAGAAGGCAGCCTACAGAGTGGTAAAATATATTTGCAAAACATGTATCTGATAAAGGGTTAATATCTAAAAAAATATAAAGAACTCATACAACTCAATAACAAGAAGAAAAAAAGAAAGATCCAAAAAAATCTGATTAAAATATTGGCAGAGTATCTGAAGAAATATTTTTCCAAAGAAGACATACAAATGGCCAACAGGTACACAAAAAGGTATTCAACATCACTAATCATCAGGAAATGCGAATCAAAACCACAATGAGATATCACTTCACACCTGTTGGGGTGGTTATTATTAAAAAGACAAAAGACAACAAATGAATAAGACAAACAAAAAACCAAAAAGTTATAGACACAGACAACAGTTTAGTGGTTAACAGAGGGGAGAAGGGTGGTAGAAGAAGGTAAAGGGGGTCAAATATATGGAAATAGAAGGAGATTTGACTTTGGGTGCTAAACACACAATGCAATATATAGATGGAGTATTATAAAATTGTACACTTGAAACCTATGTAATTTTATTAGCCAATGTCACCCCAATAAATTTAATTTAAAAATAAATTTTAAAAAGACAAAAGATAAGTATTGGTGGGCATGTGGAAAAAAGGGAATCCTTGTTCACTATTGATGGGAATGTAAATTGGCACAGACATTATGGAAAACCTTATGGAGGTTCCTCAAAAAACTAAAAATAAAACTACAATATGATCTAGCAATCCTACTTCTGGTTATATATTTGAAAGAAATGAAATCAGTGTCTTGAAGAGATATCTGTACTTCCATGTACATTGCATCATTATTCACAATAACCAAGACATGGAAACAACCTAAGTGTTCACTGACAACAGATGAAATTATATATATATATATACATATATATATATATATATATATATATATATATACACATATGCCAGGGGTATATGTATACAAGATATGTATACAAGTGCACACTTTGGTCAACACTTAAGCAGTAGCTCAGTGTAATCAGAAGTGTCTGGACCCTAATGGTAACCACTTTGAGCACCTCTTGTAATTGCAGAAGTCAAACATGACTTGTATTCATCTTTTGTTATTGGTATATATTTAGTATTAAAATTTTAATAGTTTTTTCTTTTCTTAAAATGTGTATACATTTTTTGGCACCCTTTGTGTGTGTGTGTGTATTATATATATAATGTTTTATTGTATTTGTACATGTGTATATTATTACGCCATTTAAAAAAGACAAAAATCTTGCCTGAATGACCCTTGGGGGCACTATGTTAGGTAAAATAAGTCAGATGGAGAAATACCATATGTTCTCACTTATATGTGGAATCTAAAAATCTCTTGGAAATAGATAGTAGAATGGTGGTTGCCAGAGGCTGAGGGGTAGCAGAAATGGAGAGGTATTGGTTGAAGGGTACAAAGTTCCAGCTATAAGATGATAATTCTGGGGATATAATGTACAACATGATGACAGTAATCAACAATACTGTATTATATATTGAAAATTGTTAAGAGAGTAAATCTTAAATGTTATAACTACCCCCTTAATAATAATTATGTGAAGGGATAAAAGTGCTACCTAACCTTATTGTTGTAATCATTTTGCAATACATATGTGTATCATATGATCAAATAGTATACCTTAAACTTATTCATATATTACATGTCAATAATATCTGAATAAAGCTGGAAAAAAACTTTTTAAATTGGTTTCCATTTAATTCTAATTATATTCTAAAAACATTTTTTTTTACTTGTAAATATGGTCCTGGTATATTGTTAAGTGGGAAAAAAGGATAATATACATTGTCTATGATATACATGTGTACAAATATATGAGAGGGGTGTGTGTGTGTGTGTGTGTGTGTGTGTGTGTGTGTGGTAATTTGGAAACACCTAGGTAGATGAGATTGTGAGAAAAATTATTTTTTTCTTTTATTTTTCGTTTCGCTCTTTTATCTTTTTTGTATTTATCTGTAATATCTGATTTTCCCACAGTGACAAATATTCTTACAAGTCAACTTATATAAATATGCTATAGTTTTGTTAATGTGATTATTACTAAATATATTAAGATGTGTAATAAGTATTTAAGAAACAAATGTAAATTAGGTGTATTTATCAGAGTATTTTGTATAACACATGTTAATATTATTGATGCATTTAGACTACCACAATAATGCTATTTTTATTTTATTCTTATCCTTATATTATGAACTTTTAAAGGTTATTTCTGTATCTTCTGCTCTTGTACAGTTACGGTTGCAGTAGAATTGATGACTGACTTGAAATCAAGGAAGGAGAAAACTTTGTATGTAGTTGTGTTTAATAATGTGGACCGAATAATTGAAAACATCACTGGTGGTATACATCTATATATGTAATATGATACTGGCATGTCTTTTTACATCACCAAACATAACAAACATTATTTCAGGGAAACAGAAATATGGTCAGCAAATGAAATGTGAAATAGTACCCTGAACAGTCATTTCTCTTCCTTTCTGCCAACAGAGGGCAACATGAACAAGATACTGGATTGGTGGTAGTGTTTATAACGTCCTGTCAACCAACAAAATTCAAGAAACTCAGTGTTAAACTTTCAACAAACAAGAGCAGCACAAGGTGAAGCTATAAAGCGTCAGTAGGTGGAACTCCTATGTGGCCTCTCTGTCTGCCGCCGCACCTCTTTCCATCCCCCCCAATACAGTGCCACTGGAATATTCTTTTTAAAAGAGAAATCTGGTATGATTCCCTTGATTTTTCTTTTTTTAAGTTTCAATTGAATCCTATTGCCTATAAGATCAAAGCTAGTTCTTCAGTATGATATTTGGATTTCTTCACAACATGATTTGAACTTCCATTTCTCACCATTGTCCATCCAGCAGAAACAGCGTTCTTTAGACATGCAAAGCTATTTGTTACTCCCCAAATACATCATACTCTTCTGTACTTTAATGTGTTGCTTCTGTTGTTCTTCCACCTGAAATTCCCTGTACTTCTCTCCATTGAACATTTACTTTTCATTCAAGGCCTCAGTCAAAAGTCACCTTTCTGTGAAGACTTTCTTGAATTTCCATTAAAACTGAACCTTGTTTCTCCCTCAAATATCACATTTCATGCACTGCACTGTTTTAGAATAATCAGTGTGTCTGTATTTCCTACCTGACTGTAAGTTCCCCTAGGGTTCATATGTCAAAAGGAAACATCTTATTTATCTTTGTATCCCCAGTGCCTGGAATGTAATAAATACTCAAAATGTGTATTCACTGAATGGACAAAAGAAAAGGAACTAAACAGGAAGTTCTCATATTGGACAAAACACCTTAGAGAAACTTTTGGACGGACATTTGTAGCTAAAGCATGTGGATAGTGCTTCTCACAAGCTCGGGAAACATCAGATGTTACTAAAAGATTGTTTTCGAAATATACGGGAATTTTTTGGTAAATTTTAATTTCTTCACTTTCTAGCAGGCAGTTTTTTTGTAGTATTTGTCAAGATGGGGGGTCCTTTAGTGCAGAAGTACAGGGATATTGTTGTTTACAATTTGGAGAAATCCTGGTAGCACCAGGTCACTTGATTTCTAGGCCAGGTGGAATTCCATTTTCCTTTTTCTCTGGAGACAGGGATGATGTACAATCTGTGTGTACTCAGTACATTCAATAACCAATTCCAGTCTCATTTACACTTTTATGCTGAGATCAGCATTCAGGAGAGAAACAAGAGGAAAGGAAGCATTCCTTTCATGATTCCACCTCAGACTTGAGCACCACAGTTTGTTTAAAAACACATGATATATATATACCAGTAAGTAGACACAGATGATGTTTTGTAGAGGTGATCATTGCTATACCATCTGCCAGGGTCTGTAGTTGGTTTAAAAAAAAAAGAAAAGAAAGAAATTAGTTTGGCAGGATTTGCTCTTCACAAAATAATGTTGATTTTTGCCAATTCCATGTAATTTGATATGCCCTGCAAAATGAATAAGAGAAAAGTGCTTTCGCATTGAGCTACAGGAAAAATATGGCCATTGTTCTTATGACCCTTGTTAAAAATAAAATTCAAGTGTGAGTTAGATAGGGCCATAATAAATAAAAGAGAAAATAAAGGACACGAAGACAGCTAGGTAATTAATTTGGAATTACCAAAAGTTGAAAATGGTTTGTAGCCCCAATTTAATTGATATGCTATTGCCACATCTTAAACTAAAAAGAAGGGAAATGAGATCTAAAGCCTTCTGGGATAAAAACATGCCCAATCCAGGACGTGGAAACCTATCTTTTTAAATTTATGCTAGTAAATTTCCACAGAGAGTGTGCATAGTTTGTGAAAGGTAACATTTACACATAAAAAAAGATTTCTTCTTAGTTTAGAGTCACAGTCTTCACATGATTAATGTATTGTGAAATATAGGAGATCTAGTGGGTATTACTCACTAACATTATTTCACTCACTACCATGACTGTCTACTACGTTGATTTCACAATGGTTTTGGAAGAGGCTAATTAAACTTTTTAAAATATAAATAATGGGCATAACATTGATTTGTTATCCATTTTACTCTTACTGAACAAAATGATGACTGAGTGATTTCAAATTCACAGACATTCTAAATAAATGTTGAATGAATGGATTTTAGTGAAAGTTGATTTGTGTGTAGAGCTTCCAGTTTTTGCTGTGAGTGGAGAACACGGAGAATCACAAGTGCCCCAATGTCATGTTAACATAATTTTGTTTTTTTAAATACCTTTTAATAAATTACATTTCCTGCTCCTTAAAAATCAAGTTCTTTACATTAAAATGATAAAAAATTATTATTGTTTAACAAACGTATTCTTTCAACTAACTTAGAGCACTTACTATGAAACGTATTCTTTCAACTAACTTAGAGCACTTACTATGTACAAGACACTTCAGGGCACTGACATTTTATATTTGTTCAAAAAACAAAAAGATTTGGTTTATAACTTGCATTAACAGATCATATATATGTCAAACTACATGCCACAAATTTTATGGCATTTTATTGTTAACATATATCAGTTCCCTCTGTTTCATCATGACATTCCACCAAAGATTTAAGCTTCTGTTAATTTGGAAAGAATTGCCATCTTGTATGGCTATCAAAGAATCTATAAAAATGGTTGTATGTGTTATCTACGGTGTTCACATGCAGCTGTGTGCTAGATAGTCTTCTTTGGGGGAGTTTGTTTCTGATCTGTCTTTAGCCTTTCTCTGTGCCTGGGTCTGACCTTTATGAACTACATTATCTGGGTTCTCTTGCTCTGTTTCCCATGGGGTACAGCAATGGGGAGCACTGGGCAGCAACATAGGCGGGAAGGATAGAGAGATTGGGTATTCTTTTCCAGTTTTGTCTTCTGCATCATGATGACAGCAGTGGCCCCGTTCTCTATAGACACAGTTTTTATCCAGTGGCTCTTCTTCGAAGACTACGGTCATTCAGAGTTCTGGTAACACAGTTTCCACCTTTTGTCCCATCATGCCTAAAGGTGGAAATGCTCCTTGTTTTTGCTACTCCCTGGATGATTTACCACACTCTATTGGTTCATTAACTCCCCACACCTCTCTAAGTCATCCCTTAGTTAAATTCTCTTGTTTAACACTTCAAGGTGCTCTCTGCTTCTTGCTGAGGCCAAGAGAATTCCCCTCAACATGGTTTTAAATCCAGGGGAAAGGTTTTCAATGGTTACATGAGAAATTGAAAGCAATTTGAACTACACCTGATACTCTAGAATAAAGGAATCAATTTCCAAACAACTTGTGGACCAACTGTTCTGCACATTGTATAGCTGGGTGGTTAATTTAATTATTTATGAAGTTAATTGACTGGAAAGAATTCAATTCTGATTTTTGTTCTGCTTGCATCCAGTGGAAATATAGTGAATACTACAATAGTTTAGAGGTCAACAAACAATGGCTTGGGGGGCCAAACAGGGCCCACTGTTTCTTTTTGCAAATACAATTTTGCTACAACACAGCAATGCCTATTTTTTACCCCTACTCAGTGGCTGCTTTATGCTACCATGGCAGTTGCAATGGAGATCTTATGGCATGCAGAGCCTAAAATATTTACTATCTGGCCTTTTACAGAAAACGTTTGCTGACCGCTGAACAAATTGATTGAATGATGTATTTGCCGTTTTCGGGGTTTTTTTGGCCTCATTTAGATACAATCTTCTCTGTGTCTTGTATGCTCAATGTGTTATCTCACACATATAGTAGCTCAATAAATATTGACTAATGAAGAAAGTGAGAATGCACTGACAAATATAGAACACAGAACATTAGTACTACACTTTCATTCTTTTCCAAATTTCATTATTCAAGTTTCAGATATGGTTATTTGAATTTGGGAGTTTGATATTTTAAAATTGGTAATCTGGTAGTTCTGCACACTTAACATATGATGAATATTGTTATTAAAAATGCATTTGAATTCCATTTATTGATTAATTTACACCAAGAGGCATGTCCAAACTTTGATCATTGTTATATTTTCTAATGATGTTATGACAGTAGTATGATTTTTTAAAAATAATATGCAATAAATGAAGCATATTAACCTCTGAGTGGTAGAATTATAGTTTTGATTTTTTTTGTTTCTTCTTTATGTGTTGTTGATTTTTCCAAATATGACAATGAAATGTATTATTTTTATAGAGAAAATAAAAAACTTTTTAAATATGAAACACGTTTAGCTCCATGTACTGAATATTTTATATTGCAATTTTAGTTTAAGAAACTAAAAACAGATCTTTAGTTTACAAAAATTAATGTAATAACTTGAGTCTGAGAACTCTTCTCAAGCTAATATATTAAGAAAAGATTCAACTGACACATGTTGATTGAAAATTAGGAAATAAAAACATTTACATTTATATTGTCCTAAACTTTCATGAAAATTTTAACTTTCAGTAACAGAACATGAAATACAGTCTCTTGTATCAGTATATACAATTTTTACTTACCTTTCTGCTTCCATTCAACAGAAGGAAATAAAATGTCTTCATATTTCCTCACCTGTAATGTTTATTATCATTTGTATTTTGTATTTTTTTATGTACAAGCAGATCTACATTTTTTTCTTTGATTAGAAGTATGTAATTATTTTAGCCCACATATATTTTCAGTAGCCTAAAAGCACCAGGGGTGCTTCATGTGGAAACCTACTTGCTGATATATTTTAAAAGGAATGCTATGTGGCAAATTCAAGTGATGCCTTTTAAATGGTATCATTATACCCAAGGATAACCAGTTTGTGTTTCTTTGATTAGAAGGTCTTAAGCTTTTGTGTAATGGTATATTATTAATCAGTTCTATTTCTGTGGTCTTCACTGTGAGAATAGTGCCTGCCACATGAAATTTTTGTGTATTTTATTAATGAGCAATCATTTGTTCTGACATAGGCTAGGTTTTGCTTTAACTAGGTATTCCTAATGTCTGTCTCCAGGATGAAAATAGGTATATAGTAGCAGCTGAGAATAGGCTTACAGTCAGAATAGGAGTGAGATCTTTTTCACCATCTAAAAGTCCATTTAATAATATTTGTCCTTTTCTATACACATTTTTATTTTCTCCTCTATCAGGTTTCCATTTGCTTAGTATCTTTCCATCAGCAGCATTGTAAATAGGAATGAGTTACCACCTATTGCAGCGGTTCTCAACCTTCCTAATGCTGCGACCCCTTAGTACAGTTCCTCATGTTGTGGTGACCCCCAACCATAAATTATTTTCGTTGCTACTCTATAACTGTAATTTTGTTACTGTTATGAATCGTAATGTAAATGTCTTTTTGTTTTCCGATGGTCTTAGGCGACCTCTGTGAAAGGGTCATTCGAGCCCCAAAGGGGTCGTGGCCCACAGGTTGAGAACCACTGATCTATTGCATAGATTTAAGGAGTTAAAAGTGGAACCTTGCACACACAAGGAACTGATTACAAGATAGGATAGTCATACCCTGGAAATACCTGGTAAGTGACCCTTCATTTACAAGATTATTTCATGTCACATCACAGCATATTAGTTAAAGAGATAGGGTGGCGCCTCCTTACCTAAGTAAGACCAAGAAACTGAAAATAAGCAAAAACATTACACAGAGATACACTTTTAAGTCTATCACCAATTCACGGACTTCAGTCATGGACTTTAGCCCATCAGGTCCTCACTCAAAAATTGTTAATTCTTTCATATTGTTTTAACAACCTGTGAATTTCTTGCATACAGTAAATTAGAAGCAGCAAATTAGAATGGAGATTATCAATACAGATATTGTCAGCAGCAAAAACCAAGAACCAAGAGAGGAAATAGAAAAACTACTCAAAGTAAAACAAACATTCAATTCATAGTTGTCTGGGACCTATGACTGTAGGTCAAATACCCTTGTACTTCTTAAGAACCACTAGGTACATCATTATATTAAAAGCACAAAACAATAATATAAGTCAATTGTGATGACATATTTCTCTAAAGAAAGGTCAATTTCTGTTCAGAATATGCCATCCAATGAAGCTTACACAATTATAATACCTTTCTAGATTTCCTTCAAAATGACAAAAAAATAAACACAATTTGGGTGTTGAAAATGACAAATATCATTATATGCTATCTGAGAAATAAAAGATTACATGATAATTATGTATTCCTTTAAGCTTTTCTCTGAGAAGAAAAATTATATAGAGTTGGAAAAAAATCTGTCTTGAAAGCCATTTATTTTACAGTCTCAGTGTCTTTTTAGTTCAATTGGGTTGTCGGAAAAGTCACGATGCATGCTTGCAACAGATGGCACTTGCAACAAATAGATTGGAAGTACTAAGTCATTCGCATCTATGTTATTGCTATGTCATTTGACATGGACAGTTCTAGCTTCATTGTAAAAAAAAATTGAGTGATTTAGTTGAGTTTTGGAGATTCTACAAAAAGTTGAAGATGGAAGACCAAACTGTGCATTTTTGCCATATTTGACTGTTTTACTTCCATAAAGGGAAGAACGCGTGTCAAGCTAGTGAAAAGTTGCATAAAGTTTACGGTGACAGTGCTCCACAAGAATGTCAGTGCCAACGATGGTTCACAAAATTCCGTGTTGGTGATTTTGATCTCAATGATACTCCTGGGTCAGGGAGGCCCACCGAGGTTGATGACAACAAAATAAAGGCATTGATCAAGTCCATCCCACGTTACACAACATGAGAGATTGCAGAAACATTGAACGTTCAAGCATTTACGACCACCTGAAGAAGTTGGGATACGTAAGCAAGCTCTATATTTGGGTTCCGCATGAACTCAAAGAAGTTCATTTGATGGTGCGTATAAACATCTGCAATATGCTCATTAAACATGAGGAAAACAATCCTTTTTTGAAGTGACTGAAAACTGTGATGAGAAGTGGGTTGTTTACAACAATGTGGTGCACAAATGGTCTTGGTCCCGACGTGATGATTCTCCTCAAACGACATCGAAAGCAGACATTCATCAGAGGAAGGTTATGCTCTCAGTATGGTGGGATTTTAAAGGTGTCATGGTTTTCAAGCTCCACCAAGGAACCAAACAATCAATTCAAATGTGTACTGCCAGCAATTGGACAGTTTGAACGAATCCATCATCCAGAAACACCCAGAGCTCATTAATCATAAAGGAGTTGTGTTCCATCGCAACAACGTGAGACCACACACAAGTTCGATCACCTGTCAAAAATTATTGGAGCTTGGATGGGATGTATTGCCACACCCACCATACTCTCTTGACCTTGCACCGTCAGACTTCCCCTTGTTTCACTGTCTTCAAAACTCCTTGCGTGGTATAACGTTCAATTCAGATGAGGCTGCAAATCAGCACCTTGTTCAGTTTTTCGTAAGTAAAGACAGGTCCTTCTATGAACAAGGAATTATGAAGCTCACTGAAAGATGGCAAAAGGTTATTGAACAAAACGGGCGGTATATCATTAATTGATCTTTGTACTTTATATAAATAAATGACCTTTGAAAAACATAGACAAAATGACTTTTCCAACAACCCAATAACTCACTGGCAAGCAGTAATCACCAGCTAATGCCTCCTCTAGGTCATTAGCTAATTAGAATAGTCCTTCTTGGAAGTTTCTCTGCTGTGAAATCTTGCCAATTGTTAGGAATTGAAATTGGTTGAAGGACGACTTTTTAACATATTGACTGAGAGTGCCCATAATAGCAAGAAGCTGTCCTAAATGCCAGAGATACAAAGAGGAATAAAACAAGTTACCCTCCAGGAGTTACCCATCTACTCAGAAAAACATGTGAGCAAATACATGCCATTCAGAGCAAGTTACAGAAATAACGAGAGACTAGATACTATACAGGCACAAAAGAGGGAGTGGTCAACTCAACCCAGGAAAAGGAATGCTTAACATAGAATGATACTTGAGTCCTGAAGGAGGAATGGGAGTTGACCTGGATAGAGAGCAGGAAACTGCATTTCAGATGGGATGGTAGCATGGAATGGAATGGTGACTTGTGATGGTTCACTTTGTAATACAGCACTAGAGTATTTGAGAGGAACAACTGAAGATTGGACTGAGAGGAGGATCCCTCTCTCTGCGCTGTCATCTCTTTCCAACTTTCTTTTCCTGTGCCCAGTTGAGATACAACAGAGCAACAAGCCCACTGTCTAAGCAGATGTCCAGTAGGGAATGAAATCAGTATGCCCATTTTACAGCTGAGGCTCAAAAAAGTTAAGAAACATGCCTAATCTTTCCCTTAGTCATGAACCTTATTTCCTCCCAACCTCCATAGGCCTAGGCAACCACTAATCTACTTTCTGTTTTTATAGATTTGTCTCTTTGGGACTTTTCATATAAACGGAATCATACAGTATTTGGACCTTTGTGACTGGCTTTTTTAACTTAGCATAATGTTTTCAAGGTTCATCCATGTTGTGCATGTATCAGTACATCATTCTTTTTTATTGCCAAATAATATTCCATTGTATGGCTATACCACATTTTATTTATTAATTTGTCAGTTGATGGTCGATTGGGTTGTTTCCATTTTTTGGCTATCATAAACAATGCTACCATTATGCTGCTGTATTTGTTATTTTTAGTATACTAGTTTATGGATGTGCTTAGCTTTGCAAATATTTATTTGCAAATAAAAATATTTATCACCAAGGAGCCTGGTTTGGGGTAAGTCTATCTCTATCACTTCCTATAGTGTAGATCAAGATGGAGATACACATGTGTTTTTTTTGGTACAGGGGTAGTGTTATGTATGTGTAACCTGAAGGGGGGCCTCAATTATAATACATGGGATGTGGAGAATCTTTCGTGATTCCTAAATGGGGTCATGGTCTATTCCAACCATTTGACTTCTGGTTAGAAGAGAGGAGAGCAAATAACTTAGACCGTAACCAGAAGGGTATGATTTTTGCAAAGTCCTTTTCTGCTGGATTTAACATTCTAGGAAAGGATGAATTCAGGACAAATAAATGCCTACAAAGTACAAAACAAAAGTAACTTAAAGAAAAAGAAATCCTGAGAAATTTCTTCCCAGTTGAAAGGCGGATTGGAGCAAACTTTTGGATTTAGTCTTACAGGATGTTGCAATTCAAAGACCATTAAATTGTGTAAATGTACAATCCCTCCTTTGCCAGACAGAGAAATTTCCTGATTGTACTCTTGAGATATTATAAAGCATTTCTAAGGCTGCTGTTAAACTAGAGAATCGTGAATTGGTAGGTTTTCAATAAGTTACTCCAGACCTCAGTCTGGTCTACAGTTTCCTGTTTTTACAATTAACTCCTCATGTTTCTTTGTTGAGTGTGTGTGTGTGTGTGTGTGTGTGTGTGTGTGTGTGTGTGTGTGTGTGTGTGTAAAACCTAAAGATAGACCAGGAAGCATGTGAGGCCATCTGGCTTTAGAGAGGAATCCAGATTTCTGTGAAGGCTAGCTACTAAATGTAAACTGGATAAACAATGCTATTGTAACATACAACTCCTGTGCCAAAGCTTCAGTCATCACTGTCCAAAATGCCCCTAACTCCTTGTACTTGATTGATGTTAATATTTTATGGGTTTCTCATTTATGAATGAAGCAGGTTGATCTGTCTTAAGATAAACCCCAGTATAGGCATGAACACTTCCATGTTGTTTAGTCAAGCTTCTGAGGGATTACAAAGAAAAGTGGACCTGTCAGGCATTGGGCTGCTGCTGAAAGCAATGCTTCCTTTTTGGTGCTGGCTCTCTCATGCTCTGCGTTTCCAAATAAAGGACTGTGATTAAGAAAGAGTCATCAAGAGCAGAAGGAAAGGATTGCTAGCAACCAGAATGATCCAAGGCTTTTGTACTGGCCAAGGCAATGCAAGATTCTACTCTGTACAGCAGTTAGCAAAGTGTGATATGAATGCATATTAATTAAGATGGTTTTGGAAGGACATTTCTCTGCTCTCCAAAGCAAGATCATTTCTCCTGTAACTGAAGTCAAGTAGGAGAGGATACATTTCAAGTTTGTTCCTAAAGATTCTTCATTGGGGAAGAATAATGATGAAAACAACATCAATAATTTTTACAGAGCACTTACTATAAGTTGCCATTTAATTTAACTCTCTTATTAGCCCTGCTTTACAAAAGAAAGTGAAACAGGCAGGTTCAGTAAGTTGCCTAGGCTCACACAGCTGCTAAGTATTGGAGCCTGGATTTGAATCAGGTAGAAAGATTAGAGCTCAGTCTTTCAACTACCTAATTAAGAAACGGTGCTGCTTTTTTAATTCAGTGTTATGACAAAAACATTTTTGCTACTAATTTAAAATATCGTATAAGTAGTCAGAGTAGATGTTTGTGTAAATGTAAACAGCACACATTGCAAAACTATACTATATTCTGTCTCTCTCTCTCTCAAAAAAAAATTGTTTTACATGCCCATTTTGTCCCAGGGAAATGGTCTTTATTTTCCTTCGAAATGAAAAGGAGTAACATTTGATTTTGCTGGAGAACTGCTAAAATTACTTTGATGGTTCCAGTCGTGCATAGCATAGAGATTTAAGACAAATATGTAATCTGTTTATTTGTCATTCAACTTGGATGATTTCCAAATGTTTCTTCTTAGTAGCTCTTGATTTTGTTTGGATTTTTTCAATGGCCAAATAGTCAAACAACATCTGAGTCACGTTTGCTCCAGTCAGGGAATACCAACATGTTGAAAGACAGCTTTGGTTATTTAAAATTCTACATTCACTTGCAACTTTGAAGAGCATTCATGCTTTAGTGGACTGAATTTTTAAAAGAAGAAGAAAACAGGAAAGAAAAAAAAACAAGTTTGCAGCTCAAGTCCCTCTTTTGCTATTTGCTGCAGTGAATTTGCCTGTTCCCTTTTGCTGGAGAAAGCACGCTTAACAGATCAAATCAAAACTGTCCGAAAAGGCTGTCTGTATCCCTCCGGTTTATAAGAGAAGGATTTCGTTCCCTTTCCTTCACACATCAAAGAAGTCACTCCGGGAGGAAAGAAACCATAATTAGGCTTGAGCGATCGAGCAGACAGACCCTTTCCTCTGCTTTCCCCATTCCCGCCCCCAAGACCCTAGGCGCTAGCGAGGCGCCGGCCACTGCAGCAGCTGCAGCGAGAGAAGGTCCACGCCCGCGCGAGTCGCTAAGAGCTGGGCGGCGGCGGGGCCGGCCCGGGGCGCGCTCGCTCGGGAGCGCGCTCATGCAGCGGTTTTCTTCTCCCACAATCCAGAGGCTGCGGCGCGGGAGGGGCGGGGAGTCGGCGGAAGGATATGGGTGCGGAGGGAGCAGCGCTCTCTTTTTGACGGCGGGCTCGCGGCGTTGGTTGGACGGCGAGGCGAGGGGTGTGATGCGGCACTGCGGTTGTGAGGCCGTTACTCCGGCTCCTCCAGAGAGGGCAGAGGACTAGGCTGTAGCGCGGCGGTGGTTTTGTGCTAGGGCGTCCCGGAGGCGCACTGAAAAGGCTGGCGGGGCTCAGAAAACTGGGGGGTTAGGGACACACATTCAAGCCCCCACCCCCCCGGGAGGGGAAGGGGGCTGGAGGCGAGGCTTGAGGGCGGCGGAGGGATGGTGTCTGCTCGGGGGGAAGGGGCGAGCCCTGCCTGTCTTTGGTGAGGGGCTGCCGGCAGGGGAGGCTCCGCGGGCTGAAGCGGCTCCATGCCCACTGGTGGGTGGAACGTGTTGAGCGGAACGCGGAGGTCGAGCTTGGCGGCCGCTCGGAACCCTCTCTAACGTGGTGTTTCATTTAGCCCGCGTTGGGATTAATTCATTGGAGGCAGCTTCGCTGGTCTGGCTCCTCCAGGAGCTGGGCAACCTTGACGGGCTTTTTGTCTTGCTGCTCCTGCCCCTTTTCCCTTCCTCCTCCTCCAGATGCCTTTTCTCTGCCCGGTACAGACATTTCCAGCGCAGGCTGCGGCTCGTAGCTGCTGTCGAAGCCACTTCTCGGGATTTCGGCTCTTTTCCCTCTGGGGTATTTTTTGAGGAAGGGAGAGTTTTGCTCTCCCCTCCACGATGGGATTTTCTCCCCGTGCCAAAATGGACTTCCATTGATTTCTACTTCTTCAACGTTTAGTGACCAATTCCCTAGGCGTATTTTTGTGGTAGTTCCTTTTTTTTTTTTTCCACATACATTATCTGTAAAATGGAGAACGAGATCTTTACTCCCCTTCTGGAGCAGTTCATGACCAGCCCCTTGGTCACTTGGGTAAGTGGGGTGTTAGTTATTGTATATTTTGCTGCATTATTTGTGCCTGCCGAGATGAAGGTGGACGTTCGTGTCATGATGATCGTTCCGTTCTAGGTTAAAACGTTTGGACCTCTGGCTGCAGGAAATGGAACCAACCTGGATGAATATGTTGCTTTGGTGGATGGGGTATTCTTGAACCAGGTCATGCTCCAAATGTAAGTGTTCTTTTCTTCTTTTCTAGGTAACTTGTTTTCTTTGAAAAACGACATACTGTGAACTTAGAGATTTTATGTTTTAAGCTCCTAATTTGGTTCTTTGGCCAGAAAAAATCAGGTGGTTTAACAATTGGACCTTGCGAAGAGTGATAATCTTACATGTCCAGACTATTCATCCATCACAAACCAGTGATTATACGTGTTAAAATGTGAAACTTTAATTTTTCATTCCACAAACCAGATATTGTCACTTATTGTCTTAAATGCTGAAATTCGAACCATATTGTATTCTCTTTGATAATTAGGTAAAATGAGAGAGAGAATGAGAGTAGTTTCCTATGGGGGGAGAAAGCCTTTACTGTGAAGTTATGTGCATTTGATGTAGAAATGTTTCTTATTAACCTTTGTGTCTAAAAATAAATGGCTCAAAATTTGAAACTGGTGAAGTAGTAACAGATTTCAGAAGAGAGGATTTCAAACAATAGTTTTGATTGATGAGAGACTGTTGCTGTAGCAAGTAATTTAAATGCTTATGATACAAGCCTGAGTAGATGATTTATTGTTTAAATTATTAGATTAATATTTGAGGGATCATTTTAAGGTATTAGAGCTAGTTTTGAAATGCAGGTAACTGAAATCTTGACAGTTAGGCAATGATTTAGTAGGCAAATCTTTTGTCTTTTATGTTTATGATATTGGGTTTGTATTAAGTAGAAAAGTTTTTGAGATGGGAATTGAATATTGAAATCATATTGGTAGCTCAGTGAAATTAAAAACATTTTTATCATTGTAGGTATTGTATACATGCATTCCAAGTACATCAGCGTTGGTTATCAAACCCTGAATATTACAGTTGTGCTCAAAATAATGTGTACTTAGCCTTATTTCTCTTGAATCTGATTACAAGCATAGTTTGGAACTTTCAATTTCAAGACATTGTCATCTTTTATATATGTGGGAATGTATTGCATTATTAATAAATGTTATTAGAGAATAAGTCTGCTAATAGACTAATAACCTAAATTAAGTATCAATTTTGTATTGTATTGGAAATTATTTTTTGTATTAGATTTTTCTATTTAAAACAGTGTAGGAGTCAAATCCATAAATAATTGTTCCTGTGGTAACTTCGCAGTTTGTGTGCTCAGAGAGATTTGTGTGCTGTTTTTCGTGTGTGTTGATCCTGTAGAGAAGTATTATACTGCTGTAAGTTTTCCAGAAGTGTTCTATTTGTATAGGCAACCCAAAGAAAGACGTATGTTATCTGAATGTGTGTATATATTTTTTTCCTTAGGAAAGATAAAAGGAATGTAGACAGTTATTTCCAGGGATAGTAAATTTATTTTTGGTAGCTCTCACATGGAACTATTTTTTTATCTTTGCACTATCCCACTATTTCCTAAGCAAAATGGTAGGATAATTAAATTGACTTCTATTTTAGGGAACACACATGACAGGAAGGGTAGCCATTATAGTAGATACTCAGAACTTGTTCCCCTGTCTCTTTTCTTGCTTGTTTTTAGACAGAAAAAATTGAATTTGTATGCTGAACTCTAAAAATATAGGTGTGTTCACAAAAATAGGAAAATGCATTACTTTAGTTTCCACTTTAATGGTTTTTATTTGAATGATTCTTTTTCCAAAAAATATTTAGATGTTTTTTGAGTCCTGAATACTTAGCTGAAGTGCTAAAAAAAACACTTTAGCTTGTTTCCACTTTTGCCTACAGTTTATACTTAAAAATATATATGTATATTTTGAAAGCTATGGTGTTCCAAAATAGTGGTTGCCCGTTTGTTTTTTGGGGAGGACTACATTCCAAACCTCAAATCTGCTTCTGTTTTCAGTTCCACCCCTTAGTTTCTTTAAAAGTTTTTTCAGTGTCCCAATTCTGTTCTGACTGACTTACATAAATTAAAGGAAAAGAAAATCAAGAAAAAAAAAGGAAGAAGCATGCTTTAGCTTTTTAAAAAATAATTTGCTAAAATAAGATCAACACAAATTTATTTTAATGACTTATTTACCCAATTGGGTAAAAAAATATACATTACATTGTTTTTAAAAGTTATATTTTGCTAATTTTGAAGTCATTAAGATTTCTGTTAAGGATGTTACTTAAATTAATGTTTGATTTAATGTACTCTATTAAATTATCAGTTGAAATTATACCCAGAAAATTAACCTAAAAGTTAGCCTTAGCCTAAGTAATTTTTCTAGGTTACATTTTCTAGGTTATAGAATTTGTGAGTGAGAATCTTTTGTAAATGAAACTTTATTTTTCTTTATGTTTCTTGTATTGGAGTTCATTGAGCTTTTTGGATCTGTGAGTTTGTAGTTTTTATCAAATTTGAAAAAAATTTTTGGCCGTTGTTTACACACACACAAACACACACACAATTTTATTTATTTATTTATTTATTTTTTTAAAGATTTTTATTGGGGAATTGGGGGGATGGGAACAGTGCTGGGGAATTGGGGAAAGGGGAACAGACAAGTTGCTGTCGTTTTGTTCTTCAATCTAGTTGTGGAGGATGTTGCTTCACTGGCCCAAGTTGGCACCATCATTGCGCTCTTCTCTGGCGAGGCAGATCAGTCGCCGGCTTCTGGACGGCCGCTCACTGCGGCTGCTGGCCGCTCACGCTGGCTGCTGGCCACACACGGTAGCCCATGGCAACCCACTGCCGCAGGGGCTGCAGCCCACGCCGTCGCCGGCGACTCATGGCAGCCCAGCTCCAGGTTGAGCTGTTGTTCACCATCTTAGCTGTGGAGGGCAGTGTCACTGGCCCTCACATGTGGGATCCGAACCGGGGCCCTCTGGCATCCCAAGCGAGTTCTCAACCATCACGCCACTCGGCCAGCCCCACACACAATTTATTTATTTTTGCCTTCTTCGCCCCTTTTGGAAGTCCAATTACATGTATATCAGGCTACTTGATGTTCCCTGATGTTCTGTTCAGTTTTTTTTTGTCTTTTCCATTTCGTTTGATGACCTTGCCATGTCTCCAAGATCATTAATCTGTTTCTCTGTAATGTGTAATCTGCTGTCAATGCCATCCAGCATATTTTTTATTTCAGACATTATAGTTTTATCTCTGGAAATGCAGTCTTTGTTAATATCTTTTACATGTATTGCTTTCATGCTTTGTCTTTTCTCTAGCTTCCAGAACATACAGAATTCAGATACAACAGGCTGATTGTTCAGGTTTATAATTCTATCTGTGTCATTTCTGGGTTGGTTTTGATAGATTTTTCTTCTCATTTTGGATTATATTTTATTGCTTTTGCAGACCTGATAATTTTTTGTTGGATACCAGACATTTGGAATTTTACCTTGTTGGTGCTGGATATTTTTGTATTCCATTAAATATTCTTGAGCTTTGTTCTGGGATGCAGTTAACTTGTTAACAGTTCGATTTTTTTCAGATCTTGCTTTTAAGTTGTGTTAGGCGGCACCACTTTGTTGCACTATTGAAGCAAAACCCTTTTGGGTGGGAACAGGAACTATTCCTGGACCTGTGTGAGCTTTGGGTGGTGTTCTCTCTAATCCTTTTTGGTGGTTCTTTCACTGTCCTTAGGTAGTGTCCTCACACGAATATATAATAAGTACTCAGCTGAAGACTTGAGGGGTTACCCTGTGCAGCTCTGTCCTCTTAAGTACTCTGCCTTGTACTCATATATCGATAGTCACCTTGCTATCTCCAGACTAAATTGTGTCTCCTCAACTCTGCAAGACCACTGTGCTCTGTCTGTGTTCCCCATCCCTGTTCTGTGGCCTAGAAACTCTTTCAAGGCAATAAGGTAGGGGAATTGTAACGCTCATCTTCTTTGTTTCCCGTTTATCAGGGATCTCTTGTCCTTTATTGCCTGATGTCCATTGTCTTGAAACAACGCTTTCTATATGTGTGTGTGTGTGTGTGTGTGTGTGTGTGTGTGTGTGTGTGTGTATTTTTCCCCCCAGTTGTTTCAGGCAGGAGGGTAAATTTGGTTCCTGTTATTCCATCTTTGGTCAGAAGTAAAAATCTGTTTATATTTGCCCTGCCAGTCTTGTATGCCTGCTTTCAGATATGGTATAGAATTTGGTCATAGGAGCCTTATGGTAGAATTTTATTTTTATCTAAAGTGTTTATTGAGAGTGTGAATATTGATTAGGGACTAGATTTGCCATTTTGGGATCTAGACTCTGAAAGTAAAGATTTGACTTCTTCATGCCAGTTTATTGACTCTATGCCTTATAATTTCAGAGTCTATTCTCTGATTTGGTATTCATTATATTCAGAGATAAATCCTGGATTTCATTGAGTACCTCCTTAAATCAAAGAATTTCTGTAAGAGCTTGTGACATGGTATCAGTCCTCTTTAACTATTGAGGAGAGGAAGCTATTTAGAGATCTGGAATGATGGCCAGCTCTTCTACATGCTGCGGGGCATTTTCCTGCTTCAACCAAATGAAATCTTTTTTCCTCAGTGCAAGTTATAGACATAGAGTTTGGTGACAGTGAAATAGAAATAATCATTTTCTTTTTGAGATGTCATACAGTTCACTAATCAATTTTGACTATGACTTGCTGTGAATTTTTAAGGAATTTGTGACAGTAGTTAATTTCATACTTCTAAAATTTAGAAATTACGCTATTCATATTACCTAAGCAGTTGAAAATATGGATATATTAGGGTTTTAAGTACTGAGAAAATTGTTATTAGTGTGAGAACAATATTTGAAATTATTCTATAATTGAGGCTCATTAGATGGCAATTGAGATCTATACTTGAAATACTTAGTGATTGTGATGTATTTATTAATGGCTTTTCTTCTTTTAGAATCTTGAATTTAAAAGGACTTTAGAAATGATCTACTGTGAAAATCATTTTTAATTAGACCCCTGACACATGGTCATCCAACTTCTGTTTAAGTGTTTCCTGAGAAGCAGCTTCATAAAGTGTACCCAAAAAAGCCATTTATCTAATAGAGGAAGTTGACTGAGAAATATTCAATTCTTAAG